ATGCCACATGGATGGACTCTATTAAGGAGGTCACAGATATTAAGGGATTGCAGGAATTAAGCAGAGCAGTGGAGGACAGAGGGTCTTGGACAGGGGTAGGCAACCTTTCCCCTTTAAGGGCCGAGGGACTTCAGCTCCCAGAAGCCTCAGCCATGTTGGCCAATAGTCCCATGTTGGCCAATAGCTCCTGGGATTCTGGGAGCTGAAGTCTCTCGGCCCTTAAAGGGGAAAGGTTGCCTACCCCTGGTCTTGGAGATGTCTGACCCATAGGGTCGCCATGAGTCGAGATCGACTCAAGGGCAGTTAACAAAACAAAACAAAACAAAAAGTGCTGAAACTATTTTGCAGATAGGGTTTAGTAGCTTGAGTATCTCCTTTAGTTCAGACTAAAATTCAGAGCAGATTCATTGTCTGACTGGCATCTGAATCACCCATCTCCACTGGGCCAGTGTGCTCCATACATATTCCTGTAAGGGTCTGTTGAGTAGGAAATGGGTCCATGATATTCTTCCAGGTCAAACAGGAGGAAATGCAGCCTTCTCCCTTCCAAATTCCTGACACCTCAAAAGCTTCAGTTCTCCCTATTCCATGGTTATCCAACTAATTTAACATGGCCATTGTGGATAACAGACCTTTAAAAATAGATTGTGGTGTAGAGCTGCTAAACAACAATTCAGAGAGAGATTCGTAATCATCTTCTGTGGCTTCAAGAGGGAAAAGGCTCTTTATCACAATGCATTTGTTAATCAGGTCCCCAATGCAAGGATGCCAGTGTTAAATGAAAAGTCACCATTGCGAATGACCACTGTTCAATTAATTTTCTCTGTTGGTACTTTCTGCATTGCAGTTGTTTTTGCTCTCATTGTTTTGCAGTCCCACTATCACCATTTATATATAAATCTCCCAATTGGTGACCAAGCTTCATGCATCTGATGAAGTAGGTTATATCCATCAAATTTTTATAGTTGTTAATCTTTCAGGTGCTAGAAGCCATTTTATTGTTTATTTAAATAATGACATGCTGCTGCAACAGACTAACACAGCTATAACTTTGGAAGCAGCCTCTGTTGCCGCAGTCCCTTCCCATTTCCCTCTTAAGGATTTTACATTTCTTTCATGCTCCTGAGATCATCTGATGTAAAATGCTGCCAGCTGTTCCAGTACAACGTCAGGAGAGGGTCACACTGCCATGGTCTGGGACATAGCATTGGCACAAAGTATTTCGTTGCCATCCTTACACATTAAGGTAGAGTGCAGCAGGGATAAGAATAGGAGGAGACCAGAAAAACTGTATGTGAAGCAGCAGTGCACAGAAACAGTAGGAAAGATCTGCCCAGAGACATTTCTCTGCATTACTCTGCCAGCTCAGCCTCAAGGTCAATACAGAAAGATGGGTGTGAAGGGAAAAAAATATGGAAAAAGAAACCACATTCTTATTTTTGGAAACCCTATTCAAGGGTGAGATGGGAAGCAGGCAAGCAATTCTGAGAGCTGTCGTTCCCAAAATTAACTTTTCCAAGCTCTACCGGGAAAACACCTTTCCATGTTTCCCAGGTCTTTCTTTGGTAATAATAATAATAATAATTTATTTATACCCCGCCTTTAGGCAGCTTACATCTAAAATCAATACATAAAATAATTCCTACAATAGGTTACAAAACAATAAATATTAACTAGTTGTGGCCTGATACATCACAACCTCCCTATATGTGTATATGGGTTGTTGTTTTTTTCCTGAGTCAATGCTCAGATTCTGCAGCAAGGAACATAATGCAAAAGGTGACCTTCAGGATCCAGAGTGAATATCTTTTTGAATATCCCTGAAAGGGGAAGGTCTTTCTGCAGTGGGGAAGGTGGCTGCAGATTTTTTTAAAACAAAGAGAGAGCACTAGTGGGATGTTGACCGAAGGAAGGGCATTCCCAGGCCTGAAAGCTGCAGGGATGACGCTGCAAGCAGGCAGGCCGAAAAGCTCCACCTTCCCTGAGTAGCATCCCTGAACACTGGGAATGTGGGAGGAGAAAAAAGGAAAGAAGTACAGAAAAGAGGACAAGCAGAAGGACAAGAAGACAGGTGGCTTCTGGATCTGACCCAGGGGACCTTTCCTAAGCTGATCCCTTTCCCCTCAGGTTCATATTTAGCCTTTCCAGACAACAGTTGCCCTCAGAAGAGGCCATCAACCTTCCTCATTTTCCTCTGGCAGCAGGCAAAATGCCTGCTCTCGATGACAAAACTTTTGAGGAGCTCCTAAAAGCAAATCCTACCTTCCCATCTCATCTGTGCACAAAGCCTCAAAGCCTCAGCTCTTGACAGATCCTGCCACCTTGAGCAAAACACTGAGCTGGAACACCTTCAAGCAAGGAAACCTATTCAAGGGTAGCCGTCTTGGCCATATAGCAAAGCACAAGAACATCCCAAATCCCCAGAACAGGGGATCCCTTTATTTGGTAACCAAAATGCACAATAGACATGATGGAAGGTTTCAGAGCTCCCAGGCAAAGGTGTTAAAAAACATACATCGCATTCCTGTCTTTGGTGCAGCTTGGTTCGCCAAATAAAAGGATCACTGTATTTTGTGGATTTGGGATGTTGTACAATCAAGCAAAGTCAGAGATCTATCCTCAGCTGGGCCATTTCTCCCTACTGTATTTGTTGTGATCCTCCCA